CTCTAACTATTGGAAGTCTTATTTTATCATTAGATAGAGCATATTGAATTGTACGTGGAGCATGAATCTGTGTAGGGATGCAACGGTGACGGTGGTCACCGGTGTGATCGGTCTACGGTTCACCGGTTCACCGTAGGACCGGTGCCACCGGTTTACCGGTCACCGCAGTAGTGGTCACAATGTACTGCAGATATAGCTATTCAAGTTCAACTGTGTCTTATTAAAAATGAAGCTGACCATCTCATAATCGAAAAGTGCACATATATTTGGTATCCCTCTACTTTCTGTGATTTATGATCATACTTCACAAATTTAATAAAATGTTTCTATATACTGACCGCTTCTTCAGTACGATGCTGACCGTAGGCGTACGTCAGACAACATCAAGATGCTCATTCAGCTGATATTTGTTAGTGCGAGACTCTCTGGATATGAAAGATGCTTATACAAAAAAATTAGGCATGCCGCGCCAACAAACACCTTTAAGGTCAACAATAGCTGTTAGAATGTCTGGAATCTACGGTGATCACCGGTTTATAACATTCTACAGACTCATCAAAGCTTAGGATAACCAGCAGTACGCTTTTAATGTCCATCACCGGAGGTTTTCTTGGCCCTATCGATCCCATAACCGGCATGATTATCATATTCATCGATGAAGAAAATTTTCATTTACTATAGTGAGCAGATCTAAATTACATGTTTTTGCGTATTACCATTAATCCTAATCATGTTGGTTAGGAGGGCGGATACCTACAGTGGCAGGCAGCTTCTAGTATTTCACAGACTCGTTGAAGACCAGAGCAACCAGTAATGGCAATCTAGTCATCATCACCGAATGATTTCGTGAATCTATCAGTCGTATAACTAGCTTCGTAGACAGTCTCTGGAAAAACTTTTCACATGCTGTTTCGTCGTGTACTCAAATATATAATTTTGTACATCATGATGAAAGTTAAAAATGCTGTTTAGAGAGCGGGAACCTACATCGATGACCGGTTTGCAGCATTTGACAAGCTCATTGATGCTCAGGGTAATCAGTAATGCCCTTACAACCATCATCACTGTAGGTTCCTGTGACAATGTCGGTCCTAAAACTGGCATCGCCATCATATTGATTTAGGAAAAAAACTTTCATATACAATAATACATCGCTATAAATGATATACTTTTAAGCGTCACCATGTAGTTTCATATTGCCAGTTACTAGAGCGGAGACCTACGGTGATAGACGGTTTCTAGCATTTACAGATTCATCGAGGCTCAGAGTAACCAGCAGTGTCCATCTAGTCACCATCGCCGTAGGTTTTCGTCACCCTATTGATTCTATTATTAGCTTTGTAGCCATGGACATCTTGGAAAAGATTTTTCATCATCAGTCTTGCCGTACACTCAGCTGGCTCTGTAGGTTCGCCTATTCGGAATTTCGCCAACAGTACGCTCACTAGTAGCGAATTTTCCCATGACATTAGTCTATTGGCGAATCTCTAGTATGAAATTCGTCAAAAAATATTTATTTTTGCCTTAGTATGTTCGCCAATGGGCGAATGTTATGAAGAAATTCACCAATTTTAGTCCGTAGAATTATGACTCAACTAAATGGATGATAGAATATTTAAGTATTACAGGATGTGGGTGTGTGTGTGGGCGTAGGTATGAGTATAGATCAAGCGCATATACAACATCCAGACTCGCACCTACACCCACAGCCACACCCAGTCATCTACACCCAGACCATTTTTCGTTAGTATATTCGCCAATTAGCAAATCTCTATCATGAAAATCGCCAATTTGGCGAATCTCTAGCATGAAATTCGCCAATAAAATTTTTGTTTCGTCATAGTGTATTCTCCAATTTGGTGAAAAGCTAGTTGATATTCGCCAGTTGGCGAAAAGAAAGATTGGAGATGGTATAATTTCACTACTCGGCCTTACAGTTTTGACCGTCAACATGAAAGCTAACAATGGAAGTTAGAGGGCGAAAACCTATCGTTATGACCGATTCAAAGAATTTTATGAACTAGTTGAGGCTCAAGATAACAGATAATGTTCGTCTAGCAGCCACCACCATAGGCTTTTATTTTAATACCGACCACCTCGTTAGCCTGATGATTATATTCGTGCGTAAAAGTGTCTCGTATACGACTACATTCTCAAATCAAGAATACGGTTTCAATCCTAGAGTTTAAGGCGAACATAGCGGGTTAGAATATTAGGAGCCCACTGATACGGTCGATTTTGACCATTTTTCAGACACCTACATACTTGCATCAATCACTGATGCTGTTATGTCGGAGTTTGGCATAAGTTTTCATGGCTCCACTGATCCTTTTCTTAACCGAATCACGGTAATCAAGTGTGAAAGATACGCTTTATGTATTATAGTGCCGTCTAGTAAGAAGTATAGCTTCGACTATCGTTATTAATTTTAGTGATGCAACGATAACGATTACCATAGATATGGTTACGGGTTCACTACGTGAACCATTGGTACGGTTATTGCTACAACTAAGAAAGCTGCACCTACGATTTCAGAACCAATTATGATAACCATAGGTACAGTTATCAGCCATATAAGGCTGTCGTGAAACACAGTATTTTCTAAGACACTAACGAATTCCTGTGAAAGCTAAAGAAAGATGATCATGGTTAGAAAATTGAAATCAGAGGTCAAATTTTGAAAATGTTTAAGTTGAATTTGTACGCTAAGGAAAGGTTTTCTAAGAAGATGCTGATACTTAGTAAAGAGTGACGAAAGTAAATCGATTTTCAGGGACTCGAATATGATATCAATTTATCAAGGCTCTGCATTTCAATTATCAATAAAATGATTTCTTGATGAATGCTATAGTATTCTTAAGTATTAGAGTCGAAAACGTCAAGTTGAATTTTTCTTCATCAACCCATCGAGGAAATAGTTACTTTCATAATAAACACTCACTTAATTTAAAAACTTTCAGTTTAAAATTTTCAAAGACTGATTTTGAATTCAGACTCTCCGGCCCCAGTTTACTTCGTCAACCTTTATAAAAACCTCACTTTCTTAACAATGATGTTTATCGCGACACCCGTTTTGACCTAATAACTGTACCTAGGAGGATCGTGGTTGGACCGGTAACTGTAAGTGCGGTTATCACAACCGGACTATCAGCCGTACCCACGATACTCGTAGTTTGGCTACTAACGGTAGAAACAGTTATCGTATTTAGACCGGTATCCGTAGGTATGCTTATTGTAGCTAGATCGGTGACCGTAGGTATGGCCACATAATCTCGCTGATAACTATCAATGCGGTATCATAGTTGGACTGGTAACCGTAGGTACGTTTATTGTAGTTGCACCAATAGCTTTACTTATGGTAATCGTAGCTAGGCGAGTAACCGTAACTTACTTGATAGTAGTTAGACCGGTAAGCGTACCTGTGGCTATTGTAGTTGGATTGATTACGGTAGTCTCGGTGATGGTAGTTAGATCTGTAACCGTAGGTACAGTGATCTTAGCTGGGCCAGTAACCATTGGTACGGTTATCGTGATTGGATCGAAAAACCTAGGTACAATGACTGTAGCTGTACCGGTAACCGTAGGTATTATTATCGACTTCAACCGGCGAAATGACCTTCACCGTTGTATTTCTAGTCAATATCAATACCCTCCATTTAGAACTACAAAAATCTGCGATGATGACCGGTTTCCGCTATTACTCAAACAACATAAGACTCAATGCATCCAGCAGTACTAATATGCCAGTCTCCATTATGGCTCTTTATAACCTTATCGGCTTGATTCTCTGCTTTATTCCAAAGTTCTGATTAGTATTTCCCAAAATTAATTAGGACGAGGAATTACTTCTTATCAGAAAGTTAAGTGTTCGAGCTTCTGACATGTAACGTGTAGGAGAGACACCAAAATACAAAAAAGTGATTGGTGCACCGGTCCCACCGCCTCACGGTACCATCGGTGCACCGTTCACCGGTCTCACCGGCCCACCGTTCGTGCGGTGGGACGGTGAACCGTCACCGGTGCACCCCTAAATCTGTGCACTTAGAACGCTTCTCAAGCAAATCGGTGCTGAAATCATTCTTCGATTTTCCCAAAAGCTATGGTGAAAATCTAGTATTTTTCGTTTTCTTCAGTGATGTTTGGAGACATTGAGAAGCGGTTTTCACCAATCGATAGAGCTTGTTAAAATGTACTTGTAACGCCATCTAAGCGCACCAGTAAAAGAATTCCTCAAATCAAATGCTAACTTCGTCTACTTTTATTTTAACTGAACGAATTTTCCTGGTGAAAATTGAAAGTAGAGACTGTATTAAAGACAAACAAAAAGATTTGTTTTTTGTTTTTTTTAATATTGAATAAAATTTGTTGAAATAAAAATGTGAAAAAAAACTAAAGGTAAAGAACGATGATTATTTCATCAAATAATGCAATCGAAAAAAAAAACGTTGAGTTAAATATTTGTGGGGAAATAATATTAAAAATCTAATCGAAAATAAATTTTTCTATGAAATAAAAGTTAATCAATTTTTGTTAATAATTGACTATTTTTAAAACTGTTATTTATTAATGTTCGTTATTAAAATTCAATAAAAAAAAATATATTCGAGATTTTTCGATTTGTCATGATTGAATATGAATATTCGTTTTCTAATAATTAACAATAAGAAAGAACAAAATCTTTTAATTGAAAAATCTTTCGTTAAAACTTTACAAAATAAAACGTAAAATCCAATTTTATTTATGAAATTTTTTTCTTGAAAAACAAAAATTGAATTATTGATATGAATACGAAGAAACCTTTTCAGTTTTTGTTGAAATAAAATAATAATAATAATAAGACGAAGAAGAAGAAGAAGAAGACGAAGAAGAAAACTAAAGAAAATAAAATAAACATGAAATTGAAAATTGAAGAGTTATGTAAACTTATTGAATTTCTAATGAAAATAAATGTACGATAGTCTTTCATTTTATATTTATTTGTCATTTGAATAATAATAATAATGAGTAAGGTTGAAGAAGATCCATTGCCATGTATAAGCCCATCTGTTGTTACTTTTCATTCTCAAATTGATGAAAATGATATTAAATCAAAATCTTTTGGAAATCCTGATTGGACAATACAACGAGAAATATCAATTACAATTGAGTATTACAATTCTAATTATTTTAATAGAATTTATTTATTTATTTATTTCGACTCTTTTTCTTCTAGTAAAACATTTGATAATACATCGAATATATTTTCAATAAAACTTCAAATATTAGCTGGAATAATAATAACAATAGGTTTAATTCTTTCAATTCTATTACCTCTTATGGTACTAACAATTGATCCATATTGGCCACCATCAATGAAAAGTCAGTTTATTTATTATTTAAAAACGAATTTAATTGAAGATTTATTAATTTAGATAAAATGACATTTCATAGATCAGAAAATGGTAAATAAATATATTATTTTAACTTAAATATTATTTTCGATTTTTTAAACGAGAATATTATATTAGGATTTAACAATAAAATATTCTATGTTAATACGAAAGTCAAAATTAACATTTCTTTTTTCTTTTTTCTTTTTTCTTTTTTCTTTTTTTTCTTTCTTTCGTTTTAAATTGCATAGAGTGATGTTTTTAGACAACAATGTTTAGATTAGTTTTTAAGAGTATTGTCATATTTCATAAACAAATCAAACAAAACTAAACCGTAAAAAAAACACATGACTTTTATTTTAATCACCAAATAAAGAAAATAATTATTTATTAAAGAATAAAATGATAGAGAAATTCAATTCAATTAAAAGTCTAATCAAATTCTATATCGAAAAATATTTAAAAGAATTTCTCGAATAAAACTCCAGATAAAAACACATATATATATTAATAGTTATCTCATTCAAATAAATATTTATTAGTTTTATTTTTTTAACATTTATCTTCATATAAAACAAATTTGTTTTATTTTTAACATTGAAAATAATTAAATTAAATATATAATAATGTGTATTTTCAATCGACTTTACTAGAAAGAATTTTGACTAAAATATTCACATTAAGTTTTTTTATTTTTTCATAGTTATTATTATTATTGTTTTAATGATTAAATAAAAAAGATTTTCTAGACTGTTTATTAATATATATATATATGCGCTGATTGAATAGATCCTAGTGACATATCATCGATAAACATTATAGTTTCAATATATTATAATGGACTTATTTTTTCTAATGCATTTTATTCAATATTCTTTTTCTGTTTTTTTTTCTGGTGCTTAATTAACAAAGGTCACTTTAAAAATGTTCAGATATATCGTCTCGAAAGTGTGTCTTATTGCTAAGCTCGATCAATTTCAATATATATATATATTCTAACATATTATCGTTATTAATTAGACACAAAAGCACAAAAAAATAATTTAAAGACGAATATGATATAAATAGATTAGTTAAACGAGAATTATCTTAAGTTGCTCCGTATGAATTTATAGTTTTCCGCAGAGCTGAAACCGGTAAGAAATCGAAAAGCCGGTCCGGTCCGGCGACCGGACCGGACCGGTTACAGAATGCTCTTGAACCGGTGAATTTCCGGCAAACCGGACAGTATACCGTATAACTGACTACGTCAAATGCGTCCTAGATACTGGAAAACATGTGGAGAAACGATTAAGTCAAATTCTACTCTTCACAGCATAGATTCAGACAGATTAGCATTTAAAGTTTTCTCATAGGATCCTAAGAAAAGTATTCAGAAATATAGTTTGAAGAATTTCAATTCTTAACCAAATATAATTAAAACTTGGAGTGAGGTTCTAGAAAAGATATTCCTGATGTTTGCGAGTTATGGAACATTTTAATTTTGTGAATAAGATCTCGAGAGCATGATGCAGTTTTGCGTGATAGTGTCTATTGTTCCTTGGTAAGTTTACCGACTTAAAAGGATATGCAAAATCGAAAATTAGTTTTCAGTACTCTGTTTTTCTAGTATAAGTTATGTTTGTTCATGTTTTATTATCAAATCATCTTTTCATCATTGCTCATAAAAACAAAATGACAAAAAAAATATATAAACAAAAAATGAGATATACAACAATAGGCAATCATATTGAAAAAAAAATAGTCAATTTTATTCCCATATTAATAATAACGGTATTAAGATATATATATATATACAGTATGATTCCCTTATTTTTGCTCATTTTCTTGAGTCTACTGTATTTCTGCAAAACTCGAAAGTTTTTATTTTTTAATATGGTTGGATAGAGCACTGATTACTCTACCAAGCTATGTAGTTTTTATTTTGTTTACCTTGTATCTTGGCCCAAAAATTTTGATACATCTCGAACAGAAGCCGAAAAAGATTTTTCTACCCAACAATTTTTAGTCCATTTCTGAGGTAATTTTTTTCGATGACTGCTTTTTATCGAGATACTGAAACTTTTATTTTTATATATTTTAATAGACTATTAGTTCCTCTATCAAACTATATACTTTTCATTGAACTTATGCTTTATGTTTATTATAAACTTGTTGACTTTTTTGAGAAATACAGGTTGATTATATTAGTGTGAATAGTTTTGTTCAATTCGCTGTATTTAAACAATACCTTGCATATTTCTTATTTTAATATAGGTGGATAGAGCGTCGATTACTCCATCGATCCATATAATTTTCATTTTGTTTACTTTGAATCTTGGTCAAAATGTGGTACTTTTCGAAAAGCAGTTATCAGCGATTTTTGCATCCAGCAATTTTACGACCATCTCACAGCTAACTATTTTTACTATTATTTGGCGTACTAAAACTTTTTATTTGTACATAGAATAATAGACCGCTCTTTTTTATACCGAACTATATATTTTTCATCGGGCTTATGCTTTATCTCTACTATAAACTGGGGCAATGTTTCTGAGAAATGTGTTCCTGAATTTTTTTCATATACTTTTTTTTGACTTTTCTTCAAAGAAATTTTGGCTGTTTAAGCAAATAAACTTTTTGTCATTGATATATAGCTAAATAGAGCGTTAATCTCTCTACCGATTTATATGATTTTGGTTAGATTTACGTTCAGTCGTACAGATGCATTTTTACAAAAATCGCTATAACCTTGGTTTTTCATAAATGCAAAAGTGGACGATATTTTAACAGTAAAATTCAGTTTTCTCCTCAATTTCGAATCCGTTTTGTTTAATACGTTCTGCATGAGGAAGTTTCATGGATCTATTGCATCTACAACAGTTTCCATCATTAATGAATTTAGTTGAACTGAAATATGAGCGTGCAAAAGTTACGTTCGATGGCTTCTCAGAATTTATAAATCTTTTTTAACAAGGCGCAAAATAAATAAAATAAAAACTATATAGTTCGATAGAGTAATCGATGCTCTATCCAACCATATCAAAAAGAAAAACTTTTCAAGTTTTGCAGAAACACAGTAGATTGAAGAAAAATGAGCAAAAATAAATGAATCATGCTGTATATACTGTATAACGATGGAAAACTATTTCATCAACTTCATACTTGATGGAAAAATCAAAAATAACATTTTTTTTACAAAACAACAGAGAAAATGAAGATAGTTATTTTTAATTTTCAACCGGTGAATTTCCGGTATTTTCCGGGCTGGTAGGTTTTCCAAACCGGTCCGGACCGGTTCCAGCGCTGGTTTTCCGACTGTTGTTTGATAGGATTGTTCATTTGAATGAAGCACGACAATGATTGACTTTGAAGATATTTGAAAGAAAAATAAAAAAAAAATGTGTTTCCTACTCATTTAGATAAAATATGATTAATATAAGAAAAAGATTCTTATGTTATATCTCGCTTATATAATTAATATATAAGATTAATTCTATAATTTTGTTTTTAAATCAATCAATATATATGTTATTTTGTTTTTGTTTAAATCTGTTAATGATAATATTAATTATTTGAATATTTGAAATCGAATTATTCTCAATGATCTATTTAAATAAATGTCAATCATTTAATTAAATGAATATAATAAATAACGAAAAAAAAAGTCTCATATAGATAGTCAATATTAATAATAGAATATATTCAATTGTATTTAACAGTCTATATGATAAATGTAATCTCTCAACAAATAAATAATAGAAAACGTTCGATTCGATTTATACATAAGAAAAATCAATTTATCTCGACTTTTTTTTATATTGATCAGTTGAGTTTTTGCTAAGAAATAATATAAAATTTATTTAATTATTTCTATATTAATAAAACTAAAAAACAAATCTTAACGAAAATATTCTTTTTTTTGTTTTTGTTTATTTAAATTAGAATCAAATTTATCAACTCGAATATTGGGTAAGATAAATGTATATATATATATTTAAAAAAAATAATAATGAAATAATTGTTTATTTATAGAATATTATTCTTGTAAAAATTTAATTATTATGAAAAATGTTAATTTAATTGGTATTAATTTAATGTCAAATAATTCAATCAGTTGGTCAAAATGTTGTTTATGGTGTCTTGAAATATTCTCGTGTCGGGCTTTTACATATGATATTTATTCATCAATATGTTATTTGAAAACAAATCCAATTTTAAATAAATATTTTCATAGAGAATATAACAGTGCTATTTATTCTTCACATTTGTTCAACATTTAAATCAAATACATTAATATTTTCTTAGTTTTTTTTCTTTCTTTTTCTCTCTTATAAAAAGATATATATATAAGTCAAATTAAAATTTATTAATTAACAAGTAAAGGTGTTATATGAACAAGAAAACTTGTAGATATTCGATTTGTTTTTGAAACTTGATCATGAATTTGAATCCATTTATGTAATAATTCTTTCCAATCGTTTATAATATATTCATCTATATTAATATATTCATTTAAGTTTTTCGATTTTTTTTTCTCAAATTTATTCAAATTGTTCATTTGTTCATATTGTAAAACTTTACCCATATGATTTACATGAAGATAAATGCCACGTGAATAAAGAGATGATACTAATTCATATTGACTAAGTTTATTTACATTTATTATTCTTTTATCATCAATTAATATTCGATGTTGCCACATTTCAAGATCATATTCAATTGAATAATTAGTTAAAATATAATCAGCAATAAATGATGAATGTAATACTGATTTATGAATTAATAATAAATGTTTACGATCAAGTAATGATAAATTAATATATTTTGTAAATAATGATGAATATAATGGAATCGATGACATTAACATTTTAAATCGATCAGATGATTTTGAAACCTTTCAATTAAAAATCTTTTTTTCTTTTTTTCGATTTTTCACATATTTACAAAACAAAAATAATAAATGCGGAAATCTCCGATTTATATCCGAGAGCTACGTGTACTTCAAAAAGTGAATGAGACAAATCGGTCATCCTAGAATCTATGGATATAAAAAATTCGCGAGGCAAACCTTTTCTATAAACCCTTGAATTCCATTGCCTACTGTTCAATCGTAGGACTTAGGAGCGTATAGACCTCAAATTTCACCTGTTCGGCTTTATTTAGCCTCAGAAAGTCGTTTTTCCTATAACATGATTTCTATTGGTCAATACTCAACTAATGGAGCTTCGAGCCAAGTTTAGTGCAGATTCTAGTTCTCCGCCCCAGAAAATCTTCGATTATCATCTCTATGGTCAAAAGATAGAGCTCGAATTGGCGATCAATTAGAGCGTGCACAAAAACAGAACCGATTCTTCCCTATTTATCTTTTCGATGGGTAAGATAATCTTCCTGTTTCCATGTTTTATATATCATTTTATAGCTCTTGAAATTCTCTATCGAATGGTATATAATAGTTGGGGTCTTAATTGACTATGATAGGAAAAGTCTTTTACGAAAGCGGCGATGGGTCGATTTTTCCATAGGAAGCTATAGAAAAAAATGGGTATTTTTCCAATCACTCAGGAACGGCTCGGCCGATCCTTCTCATCTTCTTCTCTCGACCGAGATATTGTAAAGACTGAACTGTATAGAAAATTTCATCGTGATCGGACTCTCCTTTCGAAAGTTATCGTGTAAACGGCCGGCCGGATATACTGACCGATTCAAGAGTTTACTCACTCTTTGAGTACACAAAAACAGAAAACCGTTTTCTTTTTCTTTTATCGATGATCAAATCTTATTTATTTATCTTCGTTTTTCTTACAACTCAATCAATTATTCGTTTTTGAAAAGAGAAGCATTTAAAAAAGAATTTTTCTTTTTAAAAACTGATCGTTGTTATTCGACATATTAATTATAATTATGTTTGTATTGTTGGTATTAGAGATTATTAGACGAGATAACTCGAAAACGAATATTTTCAGAGAGGGGCGGCGCGACCGGGGGAGGGGGATAGGGAGTCACCCCTCCTGCTCCAGAAAATTTTCACTGTTACTTTCTCCGATTTTGGAGAAATATACTCGATAGTTTTCTCTAAATTCGGTAAAAATTCAAGTTTGGAGGGCATTTTTAGGCGGTTTTCTCCGATTTTGGAGAAATTTGTATAATATATTTCTCCAAAATCGGAGAAAATCGCCCAAAAATGTTCTTCAAACTTGAATTTTCTGCGAAGTTATATAATAGTGTTGAATATATTTCTATGAATTCAGAAAAATCCAATTTTGAACAAAAATGAGTAAACGATTTTCTCCGATTTTGAAGAAGTATATTAATAAAATTCTGATTCGGAGAAAATTTCAGTTTAGAGAACACTTTTTGACTTTCTCCGATTTTGGCACTGCCCCCCCCCCCCTGCTCCGACCTCTTGGCGCCGCTCCTGTTTTCAGAAGAAATACATTTAATCATCAATAAAAAAAACAAGAGATTAGATAAATACAAATGTGTTTTAATATCAATTTAAATTGATGATAATTCTAGATGAGAATAGATTTTTCTTCTCGAAATATTCCTCATAGAGTTAACCATCGACTTAATTCTACTAGCGACAATAAAATATTGTTTTATTATAAATATTTGTTTAAATATTCAGTCGTATCGAAGTTAAGTAAAAAATAAAAGCAGAGAAGAAAAACTAATTATCCTGAAAAAGGTTTTTATCTTAACAGATATTCTCGTATAAATTAATGGAGAGTCTTATGCATAAATCTTTCTCTGTTTATTGATAATTTATTAAATTTTCGTATATTCCATCAACGAACAAACTAGACGAGATCGATTCAAGTTTGACATATTAACTTATTCTTAAATAATATTCATCATATTATATATATATAATCAAATTTTGATTTTTCTTTTTGTTCGAATTCATTTTTTATTAAAAATGATTTATTTATTTTAGTTTAAAATCATCTATGATTTGAATGAAAAAAAAACCCAATATTCTAAATTGAAAGTGTTTAGAAAAGTAATTTAATTGAACGAACTCGATTTTAAAAAAAGATTGAAATTAACGATGGCTCGACTTCTCATCTTATTATAGAATAAATTCATTCTCACAAATGCTAAATTATCCTTAGATAAATAAATAAGTGACCACGGATCCGTAACAATTTATTACGAAATAGATAATGAAATATTTTCGAATTCATCAATCAAAGATATTTTGTTTTTTTTTCGTAAATAACGATTGATTATATAGATTTTTCTAATCAATTTTTCGACGTTTATAATAGAGAGAGATAAAGAGAGTAAGATTTGTCAAATAAAAAAATCCTTGGATAAAATATTTTGTAAATAATGATTATATTTGAAAAGAGAAGCTTATTGTTGGTAAACTTGAATATTTTCTATTATCTCTTTCGATTGTCGATTATTCAGTAACTAATAGTAGATAGATTATCACTAATCTGATAAAGATAACTGTCCACTTATTAGAATTTTTGTTACCTATTTAGTTTTTTTTTTTCTTCATTAAGCTAATTGATAGAAACAGAAGAAAATAATGAAAGCACTCGTCTATTTGTTTACTTGATCTATAAATTGCATAATTGATATTATTCCATGAATATTTTCATAATTGTATTGTTTTTGACTAAATTCAATTAATGAATCAATTATTAAAGATGATGCACGCGCATCATCTTTTATAAATGCAGCCTAAAATTTATTTATATGATTTTATAAAACAAACAAAATAAATTCAATTATTTTTAATATAAAACCTTTTGTTTAGGCATAATTAGTGTTGATGGAAGATATTTTGGAGCGATAAAAGCAATAATCGGGGCACTATAACCAATTATCGGTAATAGAAATAATAAAACAAATGGAGCTCCAACACGAATATCATAATGAAATTGTTCTAATGTTAAATATTCATGACGTGTTAACGAATTAATATCTCTATATAAGATTTATTTGATTGAAGAATAAAAAAAACAAGAAGAAGAAGAAGATATTTAGCTATATTGAATAATATAAAAAAATAAAACTAAATACAAACTTTTTTCGAATTTGTTGAACTGATTTATAATTTTGATAAAGTAATTTTGATCCAAGCCAATAATGATGAATTATATTTCGAATACGAGAAATAATCGAAGGTTTTATTGATGATGAAGATAAACGAATATTTGAATTAATTATTTTACTACTATTTAATATAAATAAACTTTGCATATTTTAACTTGTCTTGTGTCTTCTGTTCCTTAGATTTTCATATAATTCATTAAATCTATAGAATAATGTTAAAAACAAATTCTTTTTTTTGTTTATGGTTTTTGTACGACATTGATTATTTTCCAATTCTATATTTGTTCTCTAGAGGTCTCTATTATCTATATGATCAATTTAATTCATATTTTTATTTCATTTATAAATAAATCTTATTCGATCTGTTCAATTTAAAAAGAGTTGATCAACATCAGTACACAAACGACGATAAAAAAACAAAAACAATTAATTAATATATCGACTTTTGCCTTTTTCTAAAACTTTATCTTAATTAAGAATAAATTTAATATTTTTTACGATTAAATTTCTGTAAGTATGCTGTTCGTCGAAAGATACATCGCCGAAATACAATTTGCCGAAATTCGGCGAACCGTATTTCGACGAAATATGATTTCGGTGATGTGCCAATCGTCAATCTATCATTTCGACGATCTCACTTTCTGCGATATAGTCATTGACAATGTTTTTCAACGCTGAGATATACAATTGTTAAGTCAAAGTGCCTAGATTGAGTTAGTTCCTAACTTAAGTTAGGAATCAGGTCAGAAACTAAAACAAGCGCGGAATCTATCGCAAAACTCGATTGCAATTCATGATGTTTATGAGATAGATAAATAGCCGCTCTCTGCATGCGATTCATATCAAATGTGTGAACGAAAATAATGATTGCGGAAAGAATGTATCTGATAAAGATCATCGAAAAAAATTCGGCGGTCTTTATTTCGATGATATCTTTTTCGATGATCTCGTTTTCGTCGATGATCATTACATTCGAATAATCTATATTATGATCAATAGTGACCTATAGATGATATTAATTTGATTAATTTCTCTTATTATTATTAAACAATAAATAAAATAATTTATCGATGAAAACTTTAAACGAAAGATGCGTCTACAACACAATTGTCAATTCAATGATATTTTCTTTAATATTCTCTTCAGAGGATAATATATATTTTTTTTTAATAAATTGACGAATATTATCAATTCAAACGATATTTTCAAT